GGGCTTCGGGCTTCGGGTTTCGGGTTTCGGGTTTCGGGTTTAGGATTTAGGGCTTCGGGTTTAGGGTTTAGGGTTTAGGATTTAGGGCTTCGGGTTTAGGGTTTAGGATTTAGGGCTTCGGGCTTAGGGTTTTGGGGTTCAGGATTTAGGGCTTCGGGTGTAGGGTTTTGGGGTTGAGGGGCTCCGGCCTGCAGAGCCACAGCCAAGGAGAAGTCGTCGGAGTCGCAGTTTGACAAGCCGGCGACCAGCTTCAGCTACCACACGCCCCTCAGACCACACGGGGGCTGAGAGTTATTGAAGCCTTTTCCAGTTGTAAGACGCCTAAACCCCTAAACCCCTAAACCCCTAATCCCTAAACCCCCTAAAACCCCTAAACCCTATACCCTAAACCCCGTAAGCCCTGAAGAAGAGTGGGTTCCCTATAGCTTCGGGGATCTTGGGTTTCGAAAAACGCCACAAGTAGCGGTTTTCCAACTCCATTCGATTGGTTGATAGGCGAGCAGCCGAGTAGCACTGCCAAGGTAGTTTTCCCGGCTTTTCATGGGGTCTCCGTAAGGGGTATCAGTCTTTCGCGTCTCCAGGACCAGTGGCACCTGTTTCAAGTTGTGTTCGTCAGTTTACAAAGTATCTTCATTTTGTAGAGCGGATTCTGTCATGTTCAGGTTGAAACCCGACGCTCAAGTGTGTTCTTATTCTATTCAAGTCCTCTTCTCCACTCGCCGACATCCCCTTCTGCAAGCGGGAGCCCACGTTGAATTGGGGGCTTCGTTTGTTTTACGATGTTCTGGTTCAAGGCTTGTGTTACAGTGTTTCATGGCTTCCAGTGTGGGACTAAATTTGGCTTGTGTCGAAGATCAGTCGCAAATGACGGAAGCAACTACGCCGGTTGGATCTGTTTTGCAACATGGACCTTTGTCGCGGCTTTTGTGTGATCTGCTTTCAGCTCCCTTGAGGTTTTCCCCGTTCTGTTTTTTCTGCTCTCTGTGGTTCAAAAACCCCTCAGCCCAACTCGAGCCTTTTTCGTCGCACGCCGCAGGATTTTTTTCGGAGACTGTCCTCCATCTCCCGGTTTCGGGTTGCTCTGTCTCGAAGCCTCGAGATCCCTTCCTTCCCGAAAGCCTTAAGGTGCCCCTAAAGCCCTAAAGCCCTAAAGCCCAAACCCTACCCCGACGATCTCGCTAAAACACCCCGAAGACCCAAAACCCTACGCCCTAATCTTGTCGCAGGCTTGGCTCCCTTGATGAGGAGATGCGGAAGCTGGGGAGGGCGGGGGGGTCACCATAACCGCAGCACCAAGTATTCAGAACTCGTAGTCCTTTCTTCATTGTCTGGATATTATTTTGGAGGGCTCGCTACTTTGAGGACAAGTGGCTCTCTGCAAGTAGCCGGATTAGAACGATTGCAGTCTTTTCGAACCTAGTACTGTCTCTGGCCGCTTTGTGAAGCTCTCTGATGTTTCAAGCATTGTCATGACGATAGTAGTGACAGCCTCAGCCAAAAACCTACCTTTGTCGGGACTTGGGTCATGAAGTTCGCAACAAGGAACCCAGAAGAGGTAGGGATTTCAGGCACGGTAAAGCCTGAACTCCCTAAGCCCTAAACCCGAAACCCAGAACCCTAAATCCTAAACTCCCTAAGCCCAGGGCACTAAGCCCTAAGCCCTAAACCCCCTAAACCCTAAACCCTGAGAATGAACCTAAACCCCAAAACCTAAACTCAAGAATAACGCCTCAGCCTGAGCACTAAGCCCTGCACCCTGACCCTAAACTCAACAACGCCTAAACCCTGAGCTCGAAGCCCTGTACCCTAAACTCCCTAAACCCTAAACCCTAAAAGCACGCAGCCCACAACCCTAAGCTCCCTAAACCCTTAACCCTAGCCCCAACACCCTAAACTCCCTAAACCCTAATCCCTAAACTCCCTAAAAACCCCTTAAATTTGAGCCCGAGGAGCTGCCTATCCTTCCCATCTCCCGGTCGCAGATTGGGGCCCAAGCCCCACACGCAGATGCCCCCTGGATCCTGGAAGCCCTGTAGTAGAGGGGGCCTCAATCATGCTCATAGGGGGTTTTTGATGTAACATATTATCACTTATAACCACAGTGTATAGTGAGAACCCTGAGAAAATATTTAGGATCTATGCTTGTATGGGAGTGCTATGTGGTGGAGCCTCCAGCGTGACGGATCGGGGACTTCGAATCTTTCTTTGTTGGAGGGGGGGCTGGGTTGTCGTAGTACCGTAGTAAATGAGTTAAGTACTTGTAAAGTTACAACTGTGCGTCTCGCTTACTGACTATGCAGAAGATGTGTTATTTGGATGAATCTCAGTGTGGCGCGCAGGCATGTGCCCCTCGTTGTCCCGCATCATCCTACTTACGGATGATGCCCAAACCCAACTAATCCGTGATTCCTTAGCCCGACCGTTTTCAACTGGTAGGGACCTTGACTGTCGAGTTTTGGATTTCTCGTGGGAAGATACGAGGGTCGACCCTCTACCTTCAAGCCTAGACTAGACCAGGAATCTAAGACCGAAACCCCAAGCTAGCATCCTAACCCACCACAAGAATCCGAGAAGCCCAGAGCCAAAACCAAATCCCAACACCTTAAGCCCCAGCTCCAAAATTGTGAAGCCCGTCCGAGGACCTGCCGGGGATGATCCGAGATGAGACGCATCTTGCAGTACCGAAGTCGGCTGAGCTGCAGATTGCGTGTGGTTTGGGGTTGCTCTTTGTAGGGGTACTATGTCTACTACTGCCGCTGCTACTACTACTAGTACTACTACTACTACTACTACTACGACGACGACGACGACGACGACGACGACGACGACGGTTACTAGAATGGTTGCTGCGACTCGGGTTTAGGGCATGGTCCATTTAGTCCTTCGTTGCTCTTCATTGAAGGAGAAAGGCACGAAGCCAAAGCTGCATTAGCCTCGTTTCTGAAGGCATTCTCCGAAACCCTAAACCCTAAACCCTAAACAGAAAGACCCGCTAAACCTTAAGCCCCAAACCCTGCTCTCTACTCGGAGCTCTGAGGCCGAATAGGGGCTCCAGGATGCAAACGATGAGCCAAGAGTCTCAGGTCGGATTTTGAGGGCTCTTTCAAGGGCCACCTAAACCCTAAACTCTAAACCCTAGACCCTAAAGCCCCTATCCACGCTTTAGGGTTTAGAGTGTGTAGGGTTTAGGGAGGATCCATGGAGTCGAGGGCCCTAGAAAGGGTAATTAAGGTTCGTTCAGGGCCTCGACAAAAAGGTGCTCTAAGGGCTCTATGCGGGTTCTTCAGGGGCTTCACACGGGGGGTGCTAAGGGCTCTACCAGGGTCCTTTTAAGGGCTCCAGAAGTGACCTCAAAGGGCTTCAGAAGGGGCGGTCGGAGGTGAAAGTCTGACTGTCAGGATTCCTCTGGGATTTTTTTCAAGAGGTTAGGGCTTCATGGGTTCAGGCTTTGGGGTTTGCAGGGCTAGGGCCTCAAGGGCTTGAGGGGTTCAGGGTCTCAGGGCTTTAGGAGCTGGGAATGCAAGGTTCGGGGTTCCCTTTGCGGGCTGCTCTCCGAGGCAGCTAATGCCAAGCCACGGAGTTTTTTACTCCCTCCCCCCGGACGCCGGAATCCTGAACCTGACGGTGGCTGGATTCTGGATGGCCTTCCCTGAACCCTAAACCCTGAACCCTCCTAAACCCTATACACAAAACCCAAAATCCTAGAACATAAAATTTCCCTAGACAGCCTAAACCCTAACCGAAACCCGAAATCCTAGAACATAGAATTACACTAAGCAGCCTAAACCCTAAACCCTAAACCTTAAACCCCTCAGCCGCAACAAAGCGCCTGAGACCCCGGCTCCCCCATTTTCAACACCCGGGCGCAGGCGCAGATCCTGAAGTCCCATTCGAACCTCACGCCAGTCGTGGATGCGGACGAACAGAACCGGAGCATGAGGCGCCAGAGATGCATGAGAATTACACTCTTAAGCGAATAATGCTGGTGTTTTAGTACTGCTTGGCTTTATTTCTGTTAGTCTTCGTATAATTGAATGGGTGCCGACAGGCGCAAGAGATTGAGCCGCACCTAGAATTGCCATCTGACCCCCAAAGCAAAAGCCTTGTGCCCCAGACTCGAAACTCAGGGCTTAGACAGCCCTGCGGCCGGTAGCGCACGATTTAGACGATTTAGGGCAGGTACCTTTGAGGTGGAAGCCTCATCCCTGTCCGTTCTGTGTGGTGAATGGCGATCGCATGGTTTCCCGTCAGCCAACCTACACAGCAGCATCCGAAACTCAGAACGTTAAAACTGATCCGATTCCCACAGCTTCAAAGCGCAATCCCCGCCAGAGCCCTCTACAAAAGCTTCATCACTTTGGGGTTTCGAGTTTAGGGTTTAGACAGCACCTGAAGTCCAAACCCTTCACATCTCACTTTTCTTTTGCCACCGTCTTCAGGTCAAGGGTGAACCTCTAAGCCTCTAAGCTTCTCCGAGCAGCGCCTTGTAGGCTACTGGCCGGCTATCCATGGGTCCTTTACTTCTTGATCATGGTCCCCATGCTGGCCCAGCTCGTGACCATGCCACCGGTCTGGAAGTTCCGAACCCTAAGAGTTCTCTGAGGTCACGCTCTGCAACGGGTACTATAAAGCTTGCTGGTTGGGATGTGTAGGCCTTGTCGTCTTCTCCAGAGAAGAAGTTTGGTTCCATGTCCGCTCGACTCTGCAAGGAATTCAGCAGCTCAGAGCAGCTGTAAACGCAATCGTCACAACGCGTCACCGTCGTGGGCATGTGCCTGATTGGCAGTAGCTGCTGCGGTAGCGGTGGGCGATTACGACAACGCTGACACTGGCACCGACCGACGACGGCATCAGCGAAACTGGCGACGACGGTGATCATCTTCATCGCCAGCATCACTACCATCATCACCATCATAGCCATCATAACCACCAGTATCACCACAACCATCACCATCATTGTCGTCATCACCATCACCATCACCATCACCATCACCATCACCAGCACCAGCACCAGCACCAGCACCAGCACCAGCACCAGCACCAGCACCAGTTTCCAGAACCCTGTGATGCTGAAGGAGCACTGGAATGTGCGGCTTGCTGACCACCTCTGCCACTTCTGGCATGTGTGCTAGGGGCACTTGGCGTAATGGCAGCTGGTGCAGGAGCCACAATCCCTCCAGGGACAGCAGTGGCAGAGTATGGTGCGCTTGCTGCAACTGCACCACCACCACCACCACCACCACCATCACCATCTTCATCCTCATCTTCATCTTCATTTTTCTTCTTCATCATCGTTAGCATCAGAGAGAGCATCAACATCAGCATCATCGCCATCATCATCAGCATCAGAATGAGCATCAGCATCAGCATCAGTATCAGCATCAGATCTTCGCCATCATCGACTTCATCATCATCGTCATCATCATCACCATCATCGTCATCATCATTAACATCAATATCAACATCAACATCAGCATCATCATCGGCATCAAGATCAACATCAATGACATCATCACTATCATCCGTCGTCGTCATCATATTGCTGGTAGTGCTCGATGCACTGGAACTGTGCTTGTTCAGGTTGATCCTGGCTACAACCGGGATGACTCGCACAGCAACGTATAGCTTGAACTTGGCCGCTTCTTCAGCACAACAGGTTCGACTTAGGCTTAATGCTCTTCGCTATGGGTCGCTCAAGGAAGATCGACAAAGTCTCTTCATGGTCTGTCTCTTTTGCAGATTCCGGAACATTGGTTTCGAAGTTCAGGGCAGTGACTGTTTGGTGGCACTCAGCCCTCCTCGGCCCCATGAAGGCTGAGCCCAAGGGTCGGGTTTTACTGCCGCCTGGTCACTTCCTTTCATCCCAGACCCCAAACCCTCAGCCGCAAGAACACGGAAACAAGCTGAGGTCTGCAATTCCCTCTACGCCTGTCTCGCTGTCGGTTCCGTTTTCCTTCTCGGGAAGGTGAGCAGCAGGATTTTGAAGGTCGGGGCTCTAGGGTTTTAGGACTCAGGGTTATAGAGTTTGTGGCTTTAAAGGGTCATGACGGCCACAGGGTTTAACTCTAAACGCCTGAATCCCAAAACAGGGGCTCACCGACCCCAAGGGCCCCATCAAGGCATTGTACCCTGTTGACGATATTAATCCTGCATTACCTTAAGGACCCTAAACTATGGGAATTCTGGTACATTCCTCATTGTGGGTAATGCGGGATTCATATCATCCACCGACCTCTCCATGGGCTCCGAACGTTTATCCATCCGCCAGACGACGAAATCGAGGTCTCTCAAGTTAAGGGTATGAAGCCCACCACTCCAACACCCCAAACTCGAAACCCTGAACCCTAAATCCTCATAGTACCCGTGCATTGCCTTTGTATAACCAAGACCCGAAACCGTTAGAATTCTTTGCGGTGCTTTGTCTTGAGGCCTTGAGCTTGACCCAAACCACTGAACCTTTCAACTCTCGAATCCAGAACCCCAAAAAGCCCCCACATCACCAAAACACATAAAACACATCAAAACCCGAAGTTTTTTCGGGCCTTGCTTGTGCCCTTAAGGGACGGGAGCAGGATCCAAAAAAACGATCCCAAGGCCTGAACCCTAAACGCACAATAGTACACTTATCGTACCCTTATGGTACGCCTATGGTACCCTTTTGGCACCCTTAGAGGATCCTTAGCCCTAAACCCTAAACCCTCTAAGCCTTAGCCCTTAACAATCCCGCGAAGCCCGAAGGCGCTGCGCTCCTCGGACTTTCACCTGGCCACCAGCAGGCGCTCGAAGCCTAGGAAGCTGCCCCCTTCTACTGGGTTTAGGGTTTAGGGGTTTAGGGTTTAGCGTCTAGGGTTTAGGGTTTAGGGTTTAGGGCCCTAAACCCTATATCCTTGTTGTTAAGAATTTAGTTTACATTACCATACCAGGGATCTGTAGTGATTAATATGGCTACTATGGAAACGTAAACTACTTCGGTAGCAAGAGCTTATTCTTAGTGCTACTAGTACTACTATTGTTTGTAATTTGCAATTATTATGCCAAATTGGCATTGCTGCTATTGTGACTATGGGTATCATTGTTATTACAATTGCTGTTGCGACTTTCATTACAGCATGATTACTAGTAGTATTTTTGTTATTTTTATTATTACTGTTGCTACCATTATTGATATCTGTATATTGCTATTACTAGCATTATGAATATTGCTGTTATTGTCACTACTGCCACCCACTGCTGCTGCTGCTGCTGCTGCTGCTGCTGCTGCTGCTGCAGCTACTGCTACCACTACGACTACAGTCGTGAGTCCTGTTTGTCGGTTGTGCCTTTCGATGAGATAGCTAATGGTGATTTTTCTTTTGAAAGAGGCTTCACCTCTTCGTGGCAGACTTCAAGCTGCGGTGGAGCGAGGTGTCAGGCCAGCGATTATTGGATACGACCCAGGGGTTCAGAGCCCATGGGTCCTGGGGTTTTGGGAGAGTTGGCCAGGTGTTCAGACGCAAGTTCACATACTTCGGTATTATAGCGTTATGGTTATTCTGGGCAGAATTGCTGGCAGTGCCATGGTTCGTAGTCTTAGTGTTACCATGACTGCTGGTACCATCACCAGTATCAACAGTAGTATCAATTCACAAGCCTTCAGCCATTACTCTTAACTCTCAACCCCAAAAATGAAATAGAAACCCCTAAGGATTTCCGTGTCGTGGCGAGCACGCCCTGGCCACATCCCCAACCCCGCAACCCAGGGGAACTTTATTCGACATAGCATTGGCCCTGTCAGGTTCCTGTTCATGCTAAGGTTTCATGATTCAAGTCGACAGAAATCCCTCAAAACCCTAAACCCGAAGCCCCAAACCGCAGACCTCGAAAACCCCAAACCGAATGCGCTAAACTCGAAGCCCCCAGAAGTGTCCAGCGCAGGCCAGGAATGGCGAAAGTATGCGCTCGCCTGGCAGCGAAGCTGAAACTCCGGGGAACTTGAAAGCCAGGGTTTTAGGGTTTTGGTTTAGGGTTTAGGGTGTAGGTTAGGGTTTAAGGGTTTTGGGTTTGAGGGTTTAGGGCTTGGGGTTCAGTGTTCAGGGGGAAGGACGCGGCGCAAAAGCACCATACTCGGAGCCGGATTTAAATGTTGGGTTGTGCCTGCAAACAGCAACAGTGAAGGTAGAGTACTCGGCAGCAGTAGCATTCTGCTCGTGGTGATGATCACAATCATGGAAAAAGGCAAGATGCCGAAGTTCGCTGTGCAATTGCCATGGTAGGCAGCACTAGTGGCAATGTAGATAACATGGTACGTTCTACTCGTGTTCATACCTGCCATACTGATAACTCTGATAACGGATCTGACCCCAGAGCCTTTCCCCAAGCCCCCGGCCCGGTTAAGTGTATTCCGGGGATGGTAGTTTACTGACTGCAGAGTTCAAGCGGAGATAGTTCGCTGAGGTGGAGGTTGTGCAGAGAATCATGGTCCCTTGAAGGATGGCTTAACTCGAGGTTCACCACCCGAACCTAAAACAACAAGCACTCTAGACCCTGAACCCGGAACCCAAAACCGCAAACCCGACAGCAAAAGCAACTGCTGAGGTGCATCATGGTGGTGTCCGCACTGGTGAGCCAGGCTCTTCAAGCTTGGATCGTCGAGGCGGATAGCAGCGTCGAGGAAGATTCCACGAAGGCATGCGGGGTTTTGTGCATGTTGGAGTATTGGGTTCCGCTGAGTCTGAGGTCTATGTTTGGGATGAGGTCTTCTTATGACCTTACACGAAGCACTAATTCAGAGAAGCTTGGCACCTCAACCCACCCGACGTTGGCTGCTTCTCCACCAGGTTGTGAAGCACGTCATCGAAGCACTGTCTGCAGTGAGCTTTGCCACCTCCAGCGCCGTCGTAATGTTGGTCTCCTGGCTGGAAATGGGGGAGTGGAATCCTGGAGTGAATCGTTTGAGTTCTCATATCCCCGGTAGACTGACTTGCATAGGGTCCTTTCGATGAACCATTCCGGTGGCCAAGGCGACCGAGACACAGAGCGCATGCGAGAATGCCCGACCCCAAGTCCCCGTAGCGGAGTCTCCTTCCATCGCAACAATGCCAACCGTTGCACACAAGGGTACTCTAAGCCTTAACGCACCGGAGAATCCGGAATCCGAAATCCCGGAAATCGCCCAGGAACCCAAAGCCCTCCGCCCTGAACCCTCAAACTCACGGACCCCTTAACCTAAGAGCAAGAAGCACCAAATTCCCAAGCCCTTCAGTTCTCGAAGCTCCCGAACAAGTTTGCCGAAGCAAAGGCCGCTTATCTCCAATCTCACCTCCTCCTGGGCCTGGACAAGAGATTAGACTGCTGGTGCTGCCAGGTCGTGCGCCTTTGCCTTTCAGAGCTTGGGGGGAATATTGGGGTCCAGGTTACATTCCTTCAGCAATTGGGGTTTGGGCTGTGGGGTTTTAGGGTTTGAAGTGACTGAGTGGGTAGCTTAGTGATTGGATTTCGATTACCTCGGCCTCTGTTGTTTTGTGATTGCTTCTTTTGATTGCCTTTTGCACATTGTTCAGAGGTTTTGTGTTTCCTGTGCAGATCCCATCCTCTTGTTCATTGCTTTCTGCCCATGGTACGGGATTTTATCAGGTCAGGTGTCCAAGCAGCAGGCCAAGGCCAGAAAACCCTCACACCTCCAGGGGCTGGAAGCCGAAGCCCGAAATCCGAAGCCTTTGCAGAGGCGCTGATGGGAATCAGAGGCAGAAGATTCGTTATAAGGTTCATAACGATCATAGTATGCCAATCACAGTCATAACCACAACCCTGAAGTGAATGTTCCTTTCGGAGAATCATTAGGAAGCTGTTCTCACGAAACATCTAGGAGTCCCAAGTGCAACCTTTTACGGTTCAGGGTTTAGGGTTCAAGATTAACGCGAAACTGCATTGAGGCCTGAAATCAGGATCTCGTCGCATTCCTATTCATGCGAGAGTGCTCCTTGATTAGCGTAGTCTGGAGTTCGGCTACACTTCAAGATCCCAAGCCGAAGCCCCAATAATAATAACAATAATAACAACAATAAAACTACTAAAAATAAGCATAGTAGTAGTAATAATAATAACAACCAACAATAGTAATAACAATAACAATAATAATCATATTAATAATAGTAATAACAAAAAAATAATAAGCCGTAACCCAAAACCCAAAACCGAAGCCGAGCCTGACATCGGAGCGAGCAAGTCTTGGAATCTCTGAAAGTTGTTCGAAGGTGTAGGGTCTCGTGGTTTGGGGTTCAATCACATAGCATTCATAGAAACAAGGAGCAGCAATGGACATGGTAGAAGGAGTATTATCTTTGTCCCTAAACCGTAGGCCCTAAACCCTAAACCATCCAACAGAAACTCGAGACAAACCCTAAACACTAAATTCGAAACCCGAAGCCCGAAACCTGAAGCCGTAAACCCGAAGCCCTAAATCCGAAAACCTAAACCCGAAACCCGAAACCCTAGACCCGAAACCCTAAACCCGAAACCCTAAACCCTAAAACTCTGAGCCCGAAGCCCGAAGCCCGAAACCC